TATAACATTGTTTAGAGCGCAGGTGTCAAACTGGCGGGCCTCCAGCTGTTGCCAAACTACAAGTCCCATGAGGCATTACAAGATTGACAGTTACAAGCATGACTACTAAAAAGGCATGATGCGACTTGTAGTTTTCCAGCAGCTGGGGGGCCGCCAGTTTGACACCCCTAGCTTAGAGAATGCAATAGGTCAAGTTGATCCAGGGAATATCCGATTGCCTCTCGCGGGATCAGGAAGGATTTTTTTCCCCTGCCGGAGCAAATTGCTTCATGCTTTGCTGGGTTTTTTTCCTTTCCTCTAGATCAATTGTTTTTTTTTTTTTTTTATGGTTGAACAGGATGGACTTTTGTCTTTTTTCAGCCAGACTAACTATGTAACTATGTAAGTCTAATGTACAGTACAAAATATAGAGTGCATAATTCAGAATTATTTAACATAGTGCTTGCTGCTGGTCAGAGAGGGGAAAAATGTCCTATGATAATAGTAAAAGAAATGAAAAATTGGGTCATCGCCTTAGTCAGTGATCAGTTATTGAAAGAATGCCCCCTAGTCGGCATCACTGCGAAGAGAAAAAAGCCCTGGTGTCAGAGGTCAGTAGGAGAAAGAAAACCCATCTGTGCTGTTGGGAGGAAAAAAATGCTTTAGCATTTGTCATTGAGAGAAAGAATTCCTCTCCCATGTATTGGTGGTTAGTAAGGCCATGTCCTCATCTTCTCTTCCCACAGGTATTGGTGGTCAGTAGGGCCATGACTTCATCCTCTCCTCTCCCAGGTATCGGTGGTCATGGGGACAATGTCTTCATTCTCTCCTCTCCCAGGTATTGGTGGTCAGTAGACCATGACTTTATCCTCTCCTCTCCCAGGTATCGGTGATCAGTGGGGCCATGTCTTCATCCTCTCCTGCCTCAGATATTGGTGGTCAATAGGGCAATGTCTTCATCCTCTCCCCCCTCAGGTACTGGTGGTCAGTAGGGCCATGTCTTCATTTCCTTCTTCCTAGACATTGGAAGTCAAGAAGGATATGTCTTTCTTCTCTCCTCCACCAGGTATTGGTGGTCAATAGGACATTGTCTTCATCTTCAGGTTTTTATCTTCCTATCCCCAGGCATTGATTTTCTTTTTAAAAAATACTTTTTTTTCAGTATTTTGAAATCCTTTGTTGCATCTTGGGGCTGATGATCTCTAGCAGCCTACTTGTAGTCACTTCCTATCTATATACGTTCACTCCAGCAATAACATTCCTCATGGTGGATTTCATAATGCTAGTTATACACGCTTAGATTCTAAACAGATTCCTCCATTCATGTTACAGTGATTAAATATAGAAATGTCCCCTGTCAGCTATTGTATTTTAATTTTGATTGGCTACAGTCACTGTTCAGCCAACAATTCTCCCATGGCTCAAATTTTGCCAGAATTTGAAGAAGTCAGACAACAAGTTTGAGTCGAGTATAGTCAGATTTATGGTGACAACAATCAGCTATGCCTATACTGTAAAATGCGGGTTGACTTAAAGATGCTAATTGAATTGTGTGAACATTCTCAAATTATTTGGAAATCAGCCCATAGGCATTGATTTAATAAAAGCAAATAGACTGCACACTTTGCAAGTTCAGTTGCACTCTGCAACTGCAGTTGCTCCAGAGCTCAGTAAAAGAGGTGAAGCTTCACTTTGAAAAGAGTAGCCAATCGCATGCAAGAAAAATAAAAAAGCAGCATTTTTGCTTGAACATGATTGGATGATGGAAGTCAACAGAGCTTCCACTCATTTACTAAGCTCTGGAGCAACTGTACCTGCAGAGTGCAACTGCACTTGCAAACTCCATAGTCTATTTGACTTTAGTAAATCAACCCCATAGGGTCGATCAGATGTTCTTGTGACAGGGTAAAACATAGAACAATTCTTTGTCACCCTATAAAAGGAATTGTCTGAACAAGGACCTTCATCGTAGGATCAACAAGTATTATATTAATGTGAGCATGAAGATAATAATAGGTCTGGTTGGTACATTCAACCACCACATCCCTAGATATGAAAAAACAGTCAAAAGAAAACTTAAAAAGTTGGGATTTTAAAGGGGGTTAAACGTTCTCTCAGAGCAATAACAACCACCAATTATAAAACAAACAACTTTTATTGTGCAAACAGTTAAAAAAAAATTGTGGAATATTACATATTCCCATAGATTAAGATAAAAAAAATCCTGAGACAACAACTTCACATTTCTATGTCCTCAATATCACAACCCTCATAATGCACTTCCCTCCCACATAGACATATGATGTCAGATATTGCTTGCCAAAATGTGCCAAAAGGTGGCCAATCTATGAAAGGGAGGACGTGCCAAATCCCGACGCATTTCGCACTCTAGCTTCTTTAGGGGTTCAGGTGGTTCAGGGGGTGCAGTTGTGATATTCTGCACCCATAGTAATGTACAATCACTTTGGTGTATATATGTATCTGTATCAAAATGAATGTATCAAAATGAAGGATCACAAATTATGTATCATATTGAGGTTGCGTTCTCACAGATGTGTCAGCAGGTGCTATGGCAATTACAGTGCCTTGAAAAAGTATTAATACCCCTTGAAATTTTCCACATTTTGCCATATTACAACCAAAAACGTAAATTTATTTTATTGGGATTTTATGTGATAGACCAACACAAAGTGGCACATAATTGTAAGGTGGAGGGAAAATAATAAATGGTTTTCAACATTTTTTACAAATTAATATCTGAAAAGTGTGGCGTGCATTTGTATTCAGCCCCCTTTACTCTGATAACCCTAACTAAAATCTAGTGGAACCAATTGCCTTCAGAAATCACCTAATTAGTAAATAGAGTCGGACGCATTTGGGTGGCTGGGCTGTTTTTTTTGGCTCATCCCTATATATAGCTCCCAATCTAGGCTCATAGTATACACTTTTAAGGGCGCTGACACCTACCGTGGATGAAGAGGTACATTTTTGTTGGAGCTTGAGAGGCCTAGTTTGGCTGTATTGGGGACTTTATATGTTTGTTACGGATTTTTAGCAGCAAATCACAACTTCACCCCCTGAGCCCCCAAAGAAGCTAGAGTGTGAAACGCGTCTGGATTTGGCGCATCCCCCCTTTCATAGACTAGCATATTTTTGGGACAAAAAAATGTGATGTTGTTGTCTCAGGATTTTTTTTACCTAAATCTATGGGAATATGTAATATCCCACAAACGTTTTAACTGTTTGCACAATAATAAATTTTTTATTTTAGAAATGATGGTTGTTATTGTTCTGAGAGAAGGCATCAGCATCTATAAAATCCCAACTTTTTAAGTTTTCTTTTGACAAGTATTATATTAATAAAAACTGCACATTTAAAATATTGAAAATTACTTTTGAAATGACATTAACATTCAATATAATAAATAGAACTATAAAAAGAACACCTTGCTCCTGATTTACTAAAGAAAATGTGTGTATGCTGGCACAACCGTTTGCATGTGATGTGGTGTTTGCAGAGATGTGCACAGCTAGGATAGTGTATTGCTTTTATGGTGACAACTCTGAATTTTGGGGTTTCTGTTACTTTTAGCCTGGGTGACAGGACATACAGTATATAGAGCATGAATCTCCCTAGTATGGACACAGGCAGCAACTAAAAGTCAACAGGGGTTCCAATCTCTCACCATCTAAAACATAAACAAGTTTTGGGCTTTAGATATACTTTAAGATAAATCCATACACCCACCTGTCACCAGGATTAAAATAATTGCAGACACAGAATCATGTAAAGAATTAAAATAATAAACTTTTACATTTTTTTTAAATCGTATGCAAAAATGTAATATCTTTTTTTAATTGCTGAAAAGATTGAGTTTCACTTTAGGCAAATACATTAACTTCTAAATACTAGAACACTATCTCTGTGTTGAATCATCTTATCATGTTATCTGAAGTATTTATAAAGTATGTGTATTGCTATCACATCAGATATTCATAAATCCTGCATAAAAATACTATGGTTTCTCATGAAAAATGACTAAGTGTTATGTCAATCTTCAAAATAAAAAAGATAAAAGTACAGTGACCATTCAGAATTTATTTAATCCATTTTGGAACGTATTTTTAAAATTAATTTTATACATCGATTATAATTTTATGGTTTATTAATTATTATTAATATTATTATTACAGTAGCAGAGTTAGGTCCCTAGGCTAAATTCATGAATGCAGCCCTTCCTAAAGGACACACTAGTCTTTGTTCAGTTTGCGTTACTGAGGGTTGTAAAAACAGGATTTTTCTCAACAATGCAGCTTACAATACACAGGCAAATGCAAAAGGCACCTATAGTTCTTCTTGCAGCCTGAAAATAATAAAAGTTATTTATTTGCAATATTTCATAATTACCTGGCTATATATAAAAGAAAACTATTTTTGTTATTTTATTTTTATGCCTGAACATGATAAAAAAAATATAAAAAACACTGTACATTTCTTTTCATCACTCCATTAACCACTAGCCTACAGGGCACTTATACCCCCTTCCTGCCCAGGCCAATTTCCAGCTTTCAGCGCTGTCACACTTTGAATGACAATTGCGCGATCATGCAACACTGTACCCATATGACATTTTTATAATTTTTTGTGACAGATAGAGCTTTATTTTGATGGTATTTAATCACATCTGGGTTTTTTATTTTTTCTTAAACAAACCAAAAACCACAAAAAATTTTGAAAAAAAAGTTTTTTCTTAGTTTTTGTTATAAAATTTTGTAAATAAGTGATTTTTCTCCTTCACTGATGTGCACTAATGAGGCTGTAGTGATGGGCACTGATCGGCTGCACTGATGGACACTGATAGGTGGCACTGATAGGCACTGATGAGGAGGCACTGGTAGGTGGCACTGATGGGCATTGACAGGCATCACTGCTGGGCACTGAAAGGCAGCACTGATACATGACACTGATATATGGCACTGATAGGTGGCACTGACTGGCACTGTTAGGTGGCACTGACTGGCACTGTTAGGCGGCACTGATTGGTAGCACTGATGGGCTCTGATAGGCGGCACTGATTGGCAGCACTGATAGGTGGCACTGATGGGTGACACTGAAAGGCAGCTCAGATGGGCACTGATATGTGACATTGATGTGGCACTGATGGGCACTGGCAGGTGGCATGGATGAGCACTGACAGCTGGCACTGATGGACACTAACAGGTGGCACTGCTGGGGCTACACAGATCATCAGGGCACACTGATCATCAGTGCCCTGATGATCAGTGTACATGTCCCCTCTGATGAATGCCGATTACCGGCTCTCCTCTCCTCACAAGCTGTCAGCGTGACAGCTTGTGAGGAGAGAAACACAGATAACCGGCATTTCCCTGTTTACATGTGATCAGCTGTGATTGGACACAGCTGATCACATGACTGAGCTGACATCTTCGGCTCTTTCTTTCCGTTGATCGGTGATCTGCTGTGTCCGAAGGACACAGCACACCGCCGATCGCCACACTGCGTGCTCCTGGAGCTGCGCATGTGCGGTTAGAATGGGAGGACGTCATATGACATCCTCCCAGAACGAGAGAACCGCCTTGCGCCCGTCATTGCACTATATGGCAGGCGGGAGGCGGTTAAAGTAAATTTGTCACAAACCTGATCATTTACAGAGATTACCTTCAGGGGAACCATATGTCAAAATGACCTGTAGATCAAGAGATGCCTTCAATATTCCTGTAAGGTTGATGCTGACCAATCTGCCTTCCAAGCTTCCCTGTTAGCAATTCACATACAAAATGAGAATCTTCACAGGCTTTAGCTGCTATATACTGCCATATACTGCTACAGGGTGGCCCTCCTGTGCTAAATCACGTATATAAACGCAATCTTGCACTTCTGCCTAGGGGGCATGCATGCCCACCGCCGGCACGCCGCTTGGGCTGTGAGGATTCACAGCAGAACCCAATCTGCAGGTTTCGGCCAGTGAATGTCTGCTGGCATCCGCCGATCATCAGGGAGAGACACAGAACTGAGCTCTGCCTATGTAAACAAGACATAGCTCTGTTCTGACAGGGAGGACGTGATGGATCTTGTGTCCCTGCAAAGTGGGGAATAAGATCCATCACCTCCCTTAGTAAAAGCAGCACACAGTTTACATAAAAACACTAGTTAGGTACACAGTTAACCTTTTGATCGCCCTAGCTGTTTAACCCCTTCTTAACCAGTGTCATTAGTACAGTGTCAGTGCATATTTTTAGCACTGATAATTGAATTCGTGTCACTGGTTCCCACGAAGTGTCAGTTAGTGTCCAATTGTCCACTGCAATATAGCAGTCCCACTATAATTTACTGATCGCTGCCATTACTATTATAAAAATAAACAAACAAATAAATAAATAAAAATTCCAGTATATATACTGCCATTTGTTGATGAAGCAGAATATATGTTGGCCTAATCTTATGAAGAAATTAGATTTTTTTATTTTTTTATTGGATTTTAAAAAATATTGTTTTTTTTTAATTGTCTGTCTATTTTTGATTATAGCACAAAAAAATAAAAACTGTAGTGGGGATCAAATACCATCAAAAGAAAGCTCTATTTGTGAGAAAAAATGGCATACATTTTTTTGGGTACACCGTTGCATGACCGTGCAAGTGCCAGTTAAAGTAACGCAATTCACCAAAAATGGCCTGGTCAGGAAGGGGGTAAATCTTCTGGAAGGCAAATGGTTAAAGAGACACTGTTACCTACCTTTTAAGGTAATGGTGATAATGCCTCCTGATAGTCTACCCCCCCATTGGTATACTCACTGATCTGCACTCCCTCTCCACTGCCATTCCACTATGAGTAAACCTAAATGTAAGATGGAAGTGGAGCATACCCAAGTGGATAACATCATTGTCACCCAGGTGGCGATTTTTGGTGACTAGCTCCTCAGGCCTGATTACCGTCACATGGGAGAGGTCACATGCTCCCTCATACCGGAAACCCCCCTCCATTGTTCCTCGAGGAAACCTATACCTTATTATGGGAAGGGATAGAGGTGCCTACAATCTGAAGATGTTGTCACTTTGCCCTAGATGAGCTGAATGTATTTCATTTTCTCAGTAAAGATTGGTGTCAAGGTGTTTTTTCAAATATTGTATGTCAAATAGTCTACTGTCATAACATAACTAGAGTAAAATTTCAGTTGACTATTGCAAAAACATCTGATGCCAACTTTTACTATGGCTTTGAAATTACTGCATGTGGGATCAAAGGTTATATGAAATTAAGCATAACAAAGCAATATGAATTTCTTAGCACCTGCTACTATGAGCATTTATTGCCAGCCAGTAGAATATACACTATATTTCCAAAAGTACTGGAATGCCTGTCTTTACATGCACACAAACTGTAATGGCATCCCAGTCTTAGTCCGTAGGGTTGAATATTGACTTGGCTTACCCTTTGCAGTTATAACCGCTTCAACTTTTCTGGGAAGGCTGTCCACAAGGTTTAGGAGTGTGTCTATGGGAATGTTTGACCATTCTTCTAAAAGTGAATTTGTGAGGTCAGGCACTGATGTCAAACGAGAAGGCCTGGCTCAGTCTCCTCTCTAATTCCTCCCAAAGGTGTTCTATCGGGTTGAGGTCAAGACTCTGTGCAGACCAGTCAAGTTCCTCCACCCCAACAGGGGCCAAGGAAGGGGCCTTCCCCAAACTGTGCCAGCAAAGTTTGGAGCATGGAATTGTCCAAAATGTCTTGGTATGCTGACACCTTAAGAGTTCCCTTCACTGGAACTAAGGGACCAAGCCCAACCCCTGAAAAACAACCCCCCACCATAATTGCCCCTCCACCAAACTTTACACTTGGTACTATGCAGTCAGGCAAGTACTGTTTCTCCTGGCAACACTCAAACCCAGACACGTCCGTCAAACCCAGACACATCCATCAGCCATTGAAACCCATTCCATGAAGCTCTCTACACACTGTTTTTGTGCTAATCTGAAGGCAACACAAAGTTTGGAGGTCTTTAGCTATTGACTCTGCAGACAGTTGGCACCTTCTGCACACTGTGTGCTTCACCATGCGCTGACCCCGCTCTGTAATCTTACATGGCTTACTACTTCATGGCTGAGTTGATGTTGTTCCCAGTTGCTTCCACTTTGTTATAATACCACTAACAGTTGACTGTGGAATATTTAGTAGCAAGGAAATTTCACCGATGGACTTATTGCACAGGTGGCAACCTACCACGCTTGAATTTACTGAGCTCCTCAGAGTGACCCATTCTTTCACAAATGTTTGTAGAAGCAGTCTGCATGCCTAGGTACTTGATTTTATACACCTGTGGCCATGGAGGTGATTGGAACACCTGAATCCAATGACTTAGAGGGGTGTCCCAATACGTTTGGCAATATAGTGTATCTTAGACTCTGTTTCTACATTTCTCAACTCCTATTTATCTGTGGTGTTGTTGTTGTTTCACCAGTTCCATTCTGGCAGATTTTTGAACAAGAAAGCAACTAGTACATATGGGTAGCAGATCTTGTTCTCATTTTCTATACCCAGATGATTCATTGTTCTGACATATAAAGTTTGTACAAAGTGTTAGAGCTTTCTGCTACCTTACAATCTTCGCACGTTCTGTTTGCTTGACTATGAGGGGCTGCCCAGTGTTCTAAAAGAACTCAGGGATTTGTCTTTTTTTTAATGCGTCTCTTAAAAAAAACTGCTTACATCTCAGGTAAAAACACACATTAATTATTTTAAATGTTTACTTGCAGAATTTTTCACTTGCAAGATGCCTTTAAAGTTTTTAGAAAAATTCTTTAGACTAGGTCAGAAGAGTCAGCTCCTCTGTTCCTCTGTGCTGACCCAGCTCCTCCACCCCTCCCCTCCCTATTATTATTATTATTAGAGATGAGCGAATCGAACCAGGCGAAGTGGAATTCGTTTCGAATTTCAGGAAAAATTTGATTCGCGTCGAATCCGAATATTTGCATAATTCGGGTGCGCGAATCGGATTTTTCCCGATCAGCCGGCAAAAGTGTCCCTGCAGAGAGCTCCGCTATTTCTGACAGTTCTCTGACAGTTCCTTCACATGTACAGCGGTTGAAACATTGTATCTATTTGTTTCCATTTAGGATACAGATGTTTTTATTCGGAAATAAATAGATACAATGTTTCAACCGCTGTACATGTGAAGGAACTGTCAGAGAACTGTCAGAAATAGCGGAGCTCTCTGCAGATACACTTTTTGCTGTACTGGAATACTTCTTCTTTTCATTCTTCTTTTCATTCTTCTCATTCTTCTTTTCATTCTTCTTTTCATTCTTCTTCTCATTCTTCTTTTCATTCTTCTTCGTCTTTTCATTCTTCTTTTCATTCTTCTCATTCTTCTTTTCTTCTTCATGAAAAGAAGAATGAGAAGAAGAATGAAAAGAAGAATGAGAAGAATGAAAAGAAGAATGAAAAGAAGAAGAAGAAGAATGAAAAGAAGCATGAGAAGAAGAATGAAAAGAAGAATGAGAAGAAGAATGAGAAGAATGAAAAGAAGAATGAGAAGAATGAAAAGAAGAATGAAAAGAAGAGAAGAAGAATAATGAAAAGAAGAAGAAGAATGAAAAGAAGAATGAAAAGAAGAAGAATGAAGAATATTTTCATTCTTCTCATTCTTCTTTTCATTCTTCTTTTCATTCTTCTTCTTCTTCTTTTTCTTCTTCTTCTTCTTTTCATTCTTCTTTTCATTCTTCTTCTTCTTTTCATTCTTCTTTTCATTTCTTCTTCTTTTCATTCTTCTCATTCTTCTTTTCATTCTTCTTCTTTTCATTCTTCTTCTTCTTTTCATTCTTCTTTTCATTCTTCTTCTTCTTCTTTTCATTCTTCTTCTTCTTCTTTTCATTCTTTTCATTCTTCTTTTCATTTCTTTTCATTCTTCTTTTCATTCTTCTTTTCATTCTTCTCATTCTTCTTCTTTTTCATTCTTTTTTTCTTCTTTTCTTCGAAGAATGAAAAGAAGAATGAAAAGAAGAATGAGAAGAATGAAAAGAAGAATGAAAAGAAATGAAAAGAAGAATGAAGAATGAGAAGAAGAATGAAAAGAAGAATGAAAAGAAGAAGAAGAATGAAAAGAAGAATGAGAAGAAGAATGAAAAAAGAAGAAAGAAAAGAAGAAGAATGAAAAGAAGAAGAAGAAGAAGAAGAAGAAAAGAAGAAGAAGAAGAAGAAGAATGAAAAGAAAAAAGAAGAATGAAAAGAAGAAGAAGAAAAGAAGAATGAAAGAATTCTTCTTTTCATTTTTCTTTTCATTCTTCTTCTTCTTCTTCATTTCTTCTTCTTCTTCTTCTTCTTCTTCTTTTCATTCTTCTTCTTCTTTTTTCATTCTTCTTTTCATTCTTCTTCTTCTTCTTTTCTTTTCATTCTTCTTTTCTTTCTTCTTCTTTTTCTTTTCATTCTTCTTTGATTCTTCTTATGAAGAATTCTTTCTTTCTTTCTTCTTCATTCTTCTTTTCA